CAATAGTATGTCCAGTAGTGATAAGGAAAGTGAGTCATGGTCACTTGGTTCGGTAGAAGCAACAGGTTCTGTTCAAGGCAAGATTAAAAGATTTTCAAGCTTCTCTAAAACTGGAGATGAGGAAGACAACTACGTGGCACCTTGGCATGAACGGGTAGGGGAGGGCAAAAAGGAGAGTCTGTCACTTGATGTTTGGCCATCTCAAACATTAAATGAGGCATTAGAGAATTGCATTCCCAAGGGGAGAAATTCAAATATTAACCGAAAAATAATGAAGGAAATGTCAGATGGATATGGGAGAATGGAGATGACGGCTGCATCTTTTGAAAAAAGTAATGATGCAGGTGGGATTAACGAAGAAGAAGAAACTGGAAAAAACTATAGTATGAATAAAAAAACTATTGTTGAAAAAATGGGCACCAATTTAAGGATGGACCAAACCAGTAATAGAACGGTGGATCAAGGTGAAATTGGGCTAGGTGCAGATGGGCTAGGAAAGAAACACAAAGTAAATGCAAAAGTGACCCAAAACAAGGAAAAGGCCATAATGCACTCTAACGGAAACGAGAACTAGTCCAAAAGTAACAACATTAGGCCTATGATGATGAAGAATAAAAATATTGGAAACAACACAAGTGAGGTTGATAGCCTGAGATCATTTTTCCAAGATTTGGATAGCAACTCAAGGACAATGCAAGATTGGATGAGGGGGAAGGAAAAACCACAAAAAAGTAAAAGGAGCAGGAAGGCCAAGTCATGTGCGGCTGTTTACAAGGCTGCTAAGCTAATCAAAATAGAAGCAAGGAAAGGAAGAAGAGGAAGATCAAGGGAGAAACAATAGAAAGACATGTCTATGCCAAAGTTCCTTCCCGATGTGAATCCTGCAATTACCGATTAGTTAATAAATGATAGCAATATCAACAATTGCAACAAGGCCATCTTAAAATGCAAGAAGGATTTTGGGGCAAGAGAAATTTGAGAATTTGAAAAATCAATTGGTGTTGAGACACAGGGGAATGAGGAAAATATGCTGCAGAGATTGGAGTAATTGGAGGAGAGGGACAGACAATCACAGATGCCCACTATACAGACATGCAACCTTGGAGGAGAAGGTATGTCTTGATGATCTTGGTGTCTTACAATGTAAGAGGAATAGGGTGTGGGTGGAAATAGAGGGAGATTAGGAAACTGGTGGGTAAGGAGCAAGTCGAGTTTCTAATGCTGCAAGAAACAAAGATGGGTAATGTAGATAAAGGCATATGTAGAGAAATGTGGGGTACTAAAAATTTTGAATGGGTAGCTAAGAATGCTGAAGGTAGTGCAAGAGGCCTTTTGTGTTTATGGAACTGTGAGATCTTTGTACTTGATAAGTCATTCCAGGGGCCAGGTTTGCTGGGTGTCTATGGGTTTTGGGGTATTGAGAGGGTCCCTTGTTGCATTATAAATGTTTATGCCCTTTGTGACAGTAATGGTAAGAGAGATTTGTGGTGCAATCGGAGCAATATTGCCAATAACAATGTGATAGCTATGTGTGTCGGAGGTGACTTTAATGTCACTATTTCACAAGAGGAAAAAAAAGGGTGTCGAGGCAATCAAAAGGAGATGGAGGGTTTTGAAGAGTTTATAGCAGAAACAGGTTTGATTGATTTGCCAATGATTGGGAGAAGTTTCACTTGGTATCAACCAAATGAGAAAGCTATGAGTTGCTTAGATAGATTCCTAATGAATGAGGAATGGCTTACAACATGGCAGTGTTTGAAGCATTGGGGATTAAAAAGGAGCATTTCAGACCATTGCCCGATGCTGTTGAAAAATGAGATGAAGAACTGGGGACCAAAGCCATTTCGCTTTTTCAATGCTTGGCTAAGGCATCCATAGTTCAAAGAAAAGGTAGCAAAGGAGTGGAGAACAATGGAGGTGCAAGGAATGGGTAGTTTTATCCTCTAAGAGAAACTTAAAGCAACTAAAGCATTCCTTAAAAAGTGGAGCACAGAGCATTTTAGTGAGCTAGACAAAACAATAGAAAAATGCAAAGAGCTGATCTTCGAATTAGATGTTAAAGGCGAAGCTCACACACTGATTGAAGAGGAGATAGAGTTGAAAAAAAAAAGTGAAGTGGATCTATGGCAGAAGCTGCAAGCAAAAGATTGCATGTTGAGACAGAAAGCAAGAACCAAGTGGCTGAAATTTGGGGATGCAAATTCAAAGTTCTTTCATCAATGCATCAAAGGTAGATGGCGTAGAATGAAATAAACTACCTGGAGGTGGGAGACAAACATTTGATGGACATTATAGATTTGAAAAAAGGTGTCGCAGAGTACTTCAAGGTACTGTTCATAGAGGAGGAGTGAGAAAGACCAAGATTGGAAGGAATTGATTTTAAGAAAGTGACACCTGAACAAAATGTAATGTTGGTTTCATAGTTCACAGAAAAGGAGGTAAAGGACGTAGTGTGGGACTGTGATAGCTCCAAGGCACCAGGACTAGATGGTTTTAATTTTGGTTTTCTAAAAGCAATGTGGGAGACAGTGAAAAATGATGTAATAAGTTTTGTCGATGATTTTCAAAAGAACGGGAGGCTAGTTAGAGGTTCAAATGCATCATTCATTGTTCTAATACCGAAGAAGGAGAATCCAGTAAAAGTCGAGGATTATAGGCTAATTTCTTTAATTGGTTGTATGTACAAAATCATTGCAAAGTTACTAGCAAACA